AGAACATTAAAAACATTTTAAAAATACAGGATTCGTTTGAAAGTAATTTATTTTGAGAGAACAGGGAATGTAAATGTTTGACTGCAAAAAAAATAAGACATCAACAATTTTTTAGGATATAATATAGCAGTGAAGTAAAATTTAATTAAAAAAAAAGGCATTCTTCTAATCACTTATTTTCTTATATATTTAGTTTCATCAGATCCAGAAAATAAAAAAAAGCATATGTTATATTCCATGCTGTGAACGAACATTAAGTACGAAGGTCCAATTACGTTCCGTTAATGTTACAGCGATTATGGGATGAAGTAGTTATAAGAAGCCTTATATAAAATATTTCATGTACTAGGGAGGCCTAATTTCCTGAAGAGAATAAAAAAAATAATTTTTGACCTTGAATAAAGGTCAAGGACTTAAGGCCGCCAACTTAAATAATATACACATGTTCTTCATATTTTCTCCTAACAACTTATTATTGGGTGAGGATAATGCAGCATGTCCTTTTTATAACGGAATTGGCTGTACTGTTAATATTCCCCGACTTGGACGATTCGCATTTGATGGTTAAATTATTATTTTACAGATCTGTAATCAATTTCAAAAACAAAATTGGTTTAGAAATACTAGAAATTTTAAGAAAACTTGATTAAATTATTATCCATGCATCACAATTAGTGCATTATGGAAAACATTTATCTTCAAAAATATTCATTTCTACTATTCTAAACAAAGGAAACAATTAAAAGTTAACTTAACATACACTCAAGAGCCAAAACATTATGACCACCCCTACATTTTGCAATGAACTCGCCTGGATGACGTGGAGGCACGTGATCAGGTGGAAGTGGTATTTAACTGCTTCTGGATATATATATATATATATATGGCCAATTCGTTATTGACAGGTGGTCATAATGTCTTGGCTCTTGAGTGTAGATGTAAAACATTTAAGTAGAAGAATAAGCAAGTTATGAAAAGTATCTATCTCTGAAAAGTGTAGATCAATTCCCAAAATTAAAGTATCTTAAAGAAAGGACAAAAAACAAGATCATATTATTTAAATAATAACTACTCCACATATGTTTAAATAAAAAAAACGTAAATATGATATTGTTGGTGTCTTGATAAATATATTTAAAGGGATGTAGACTGAAATCGGAATATCATTTTCAGTAGAGTTACTTTTTCCTTAATTGTGGCCCTTTGTATTTGATAGTTACAGCAAATTAAGTTATTTATAAATGCGTGTATACATATTTAAATTTAACAAATACTAGTTAAATTTAGAAAAATATTTAAATATAAGTTTACTAAATCAAGAATTAAGAAATTCTTGATTTATGTAAGGAACCCTTCAAGTCGGAAATATTGAAATGAAATTCCTGTAATTCCAAAAATTTATATTATTTCTTATTTCGGTCAATAGAGTATTGATCATTTTTTTTATCAAATCACTCTCTTTTTCCCAAAAAATTTTTATTTAATATATGGTTTATATTAAAGCCAATTCAATGAAAGCATATTTAAAATTGACATGCAGGACAACCATGGAATTGTAGAAAATATTTATGCCACGTTGTTTTTATTTCAAGATGACAGCTAAAACAAGCAGTTCTTAGATAAAACTCAATACAGTTTAACTGATTAATCATTTAAAATAACTTTAGTTCAAAATAAATTTAGCTTCAATACTACTAATACTCAGATTTAATACATAAATGTTATCATATTTTAATATTCTTTGTGAAATGGTAATATTTGTAAGGATACCAGCTATTTCCTCTAAAATGTAAATATATTCAAATTAATTATATAAATATTCTTTTTGTAGATTAATATGGAAACTTTAAGCAATTATTATTTTTTGGCCATAATGTGAGAAACATGAAAATCAAATTACAGGCACATTATTTTATACTTAAAGCATAAAAAAAATACACATTAGTCTTCAAATTAACAGGATAATTGTAATATGGAATCCTGAAGATAATACCTTAAATAAAAATGTGATGTTAGTACAAATGATTGTTACACAAGAGAGAGAACAACTACAGGTATCTAATTATTAAATACATGACGTCTGCAATATTCACTTGGAGTATGAAAGAATACCCATTCCTTCTTTAATCTATTTCAGTTGTTATGTGTTATACAAAGAATATTATCGTACAGTATGGCGTCTATTTAAAGCATCTCACACATGTTCTTTGTGATTTAAGTCTGATAAGAAAACTGACTAAATCATTCGAACCATACCTCACTTTCGAAGAACTCTTCCTCAACATGAACGCGATGTAATTTGGCGTTTTCATTCATGTATGCCAGTCTACACCAATGGAACTAGGGTAGATGGCCGTGGGGAATGATGACTGATTATCGATATAAGTAAGTTGGTCGAAAATGTAGAGTAAATTATGATAATTCATTATAATATTTCACCAAACTTGTATACAAGGATCACCCTTTGCTTAATTTTACTGGGATGACTAATGCTATTAGTAAAAGTTCACTGTTGGTCATGGTTGCAAATTAAATTATTTCTCAAAATAAAAAGCTATGTTTAGCTGGCATATTTGTTAAAATTGCAAAGACAGCACTGCACAACTAAAATTCGTAACACACAAAACACAAATATATATCAAACATTTACAAAATCACCTTAAAAGCTAGCTCGTTTAAGGATCTTTCTATCCTTCGTACTGCGTAGAACTCGACTGTCCTCACCCTTTTTCCTTCTCTTCAGACTAATCTAATGTAGACATGTAAACAAGTTGTGTTTAAAACTTGTATGTCTCACCATTTATATTTTTGTTTAATCTTAATTTCTTTATTTCATTTTTATTTTATCTTAAACTTTGTTTAACTTTAACCTTTTATTTTTTGGGCATCGTCAACGGACTCCTAATTGTACCGATAGCTTTAGCTTTTTCGATCTCCTGCTTTAATTGTTCTCAAGCAGGAGGTGTTTTTCTTAACTTTTAATCCCTTTGTTTATCTTTTTCATTTATATTCATTAAATTTAAGCAACCCCATTTTATGCTAATGTTTTAACTAAATTAAGATGTGGAGGTATTGTGGTTCTTAAAACCACCTAGGAACTTCCGTTACGCCCGTTGCCCTTCTCTTTAGAAGGTCGAATGGGGGGGGGGTAGGAGGCCAAGAAAAATGTGCAAAACCAAACTCTAGCGTAAGGGTCAACCCGTCCTTGAAAGAAAGATCTATTAACCTTGAGTTCAAGGTTATAGTTTGTTGTGGGAATGCATGGTGGATCCTTACTTTTCTGTTTAAGATATATAAATGATTAAAGTTTCAACCGCTTAACTCCACTTGTAGAAAGTGAAGGGAGCTTAAATGACATAAGAGGATGTACAAAAATTGACAATAGATTAAAACTTTGCATTTCGGAAAGAATGCAAAATAAGATGTTGTGTAAAATTTATGCATTGTCGTGCGTTCCCAATCGTGTGAATTACCTCATCGGAGAAGATCAAACTACTTGAACTAAGTAAACGTCGCTTTATCGGTCCAACAAATCTCAACACCTGTCAGCCATGACGTCAACACCGTTCAAAGTTGTGTGTCCCAGTGGACGACGTTAATGAATTCGATTTTTCAAAAAGTGAACAAATGCAAACCTCATAAATCATTTAGTAGAAGTCTGGTTCATGGTGATCTCTTCACTATTGCAAATAAAGTTAGACGATACATTCCAAGTCTTCGGCGATTGCTGATGTCTGCACAAATATTAAGAAGATGCATGATTGACACTAGATTACATGCTAGACATCCAGCTCCCATTGTTCTATTGACTTTACGACATCATACTGTTGTAAAATTGCGATGAAGCTTACAAAATGACAATGGAGTTTAAAATGCAGAAGTATATTATTCAATGGTGTATCGCTCTCACTGTCCCTACGTCTGTAATTATTGTGTAGGGTGGCATCGTGTATGTAAGATGGATCCCTCTAACTAACTAATAATTATATCGATGTCATCATTTTAATTTTGTAGGTGCCCTTGGAATCATTTTTCATTAAAACAACACTAGGTCATACTTTAATGGTGCTAGTTTAAACAATCTATGTGGTCTGAACATGTTAGCATACTCATCATGACTTACAGATTTCTCTGTCATAGGTTATGTGATATATCGGCAACTGCAAAGGAAAACACCAAAAGGGATTATGTGTCCATGTGTATTTAACAGGAGAGATAATTCCCAGGAAATCATAAACAATTTCTTTGATATCATTCCAAGACATTTTTTTTCTAATGCAATTGGCAATTAGACCGAGATTTTTATGCCATAAGGGCTGCACCGACGTTACTCACTTAGCAAGTAACGGAGTAACAATGCCCCCGCATCTACGATCTTGTTAGACCGGGACCTACGGTTTTTTAAGTGAATTCCGAACCACAACAAACATCCATGGCACCGCCGGGATTCGAACACGATACCTGTGGTACCGAGAGCCAGAGCGCCAGCCACTCGGCCATCAGGCCCTTCCAAGACATGTAAAGGCCTGCATTTCTTCACGAAATATATTGAACAAATGAAGTAGATTTGAAATATTTGTCTTTATTCTTTTGATCATTTACGCATTCTTGTAAATTTCAAAGTTAAGCATCTTTTTATTCTTGATGTTGAAATTTTAATGTTGAGGATTTTTGAAAAATAATGATGAAATCTCATCTTAAATACACCATATGCCAAGCATCATGCCCCAAATCTACTCACTTTCAGGCTAGTGAGGGATGCAAGACGGCAATAAGTCAAATTTAATAAGAAGATTAGCTATAAACAGTCAAAAACAGGGCAATAAGCGTAAATTAGCTAGAATTGTAACATTCTGAGTAAGAGCCTCGTACAGACGATTGAACTGCTTGATGCCAAGCAAATAGAAGACATTTATCCCTGAAAGATTTTCTGTGTGTTCGGCTTCTCCAACCGACGAGCATGCATCAAGGCGACGCTCCTTCGACCGGGGAGGATCCTGATTGCCCTTGATTGCCCTTTAGATCACCGAAGTCAAGCATCATTGGGCGCGGTCAGTACTTGGGTGGGTGACCACCTGGGAACACCGCGTGCCGTTGGCATTCACAAATTTGGGACTTAATGGCCGAGTGTCTAGCGCTCTGACGCTCGGTGCCACAGGTTTCGGGTTCGAATCCCGGCGGTGCCATGGATGTTTGTAGTGTTCGGAATACACTTTAAACCGTAGGTCCCGGTCTCCTATGACTGTAAGAGAGTCACGGAGCCAAAGTCAGACTTCTACCTACGGGTGCTCCATCACAACAGAAGCTGCTTCCTTCCCCTTCAACCATGAGTACGTATGGGCTCGTGGGCTTGGCCACCCAAGTGGATAAGAAACAACAACAACAAGATTTTCTAAAGGCGTTGTTTTTAATTTACCCGTTCATGGACAGTTCGTGAAATAATACCCAAAGATCTTGAGGTACTCAGATAAAAAGAAGAAGGATATATATCCAATCTGGAAGCTTAGCTAGAGTACAGAAAACTAACTATTCATTATATGACAAATCATTTCGAAAATTGGGAATTTTTATTAGTTTTTCAATTGATATTCAAAATAATTTATTAAAAGATTTGAAAGATTTTATATTCATCTTTTTAAATAATGAAGAACGTTTAAAAGCAAAATAAAATAGCTTTTGTTTAATTTATTTAATACGAAATACATTGGAAAATATAATTAATAAAACATATATGATTTAAAAAACTCAGATTATTTCAAATTATATCAATTTTCTTAATATACTTCATAATTGTTATTATAGCCTAATTATAAATATCATTAAGGAATCTTTTTTACAAAACTGATTATTTTATTTTTGTATTCGAATTATAAGAAAATGTTCCAATTGTTGTTTAAAATTTTGTGTTTCTGTATATACAAGATTATAACCTTTGTTGCAAATAAATTTTATTTAAAAAATTGCTCTTTTCCCCCACTTTGACAAATGATATATTCATATTTATATTTGAAATTTAAAACGTATCATAAAAATAACATATTTAAACGACTCAATTCAAAAGCTAATTTATGCAAGTTGGAAAGATAATATCTATTGTATTTTGTCTTTTAAATTACTTCGACACCATTAATGTCTCATAAAGAACACACAGCAGCCTGGAAGAACGTTACATTAATAATTTCCGTATTGCAGCCATCAGACCAGAACATTTAACAAATATTATTCTGCATGTAATGCAGACATTTAAGGATCGGTTCTCTTTTCTTTCTTTTCAGTAAATTACATGCATTCTAAATATACTAAATTATGTAAAATACTTTTTTTTATTTCGTTTCTGCTGTTATTAAATGATGTGCGTGCAGTCTTTCAAAACGAATTATTCTCATTGTATCTGCATACATTTTAGCAAATTTACTATTTTGTTAGTAATTCGTTTTATCGGTTACAAAAAAAAAAAAAAAAAAAATTCTGATATTTTCTATAGCTAAGGAGAATATTGTTATCCAGATCCAATCAGTTGTTTTTTCCATTAAAAAGGAGATGAAATAGCACTACTTTAATCGACGAATAACCTCAGCATAACTTTAAAACCTCTAACCTTTGTTACTACGTGTTCGAAACCTCGCTGTAATATGGATGTCTGTTAGTGGTTCGGAATCTACTTTAAACTGTAGGTCCCGGTCTAATTATCCTAAAGTGTGCAACCGAAATTGCCGCCGAGCTACAAACCAAAAGTATATAATATAAATTTTAACTGATTCCTTTTTATTTTCCTTTCCTGGTTACCTTTTTAAAAAGAATTATATATAAATTGTTCAAAATAATTTTATTTCAAATATTCCCTTTTAGTTTAACTCAAATATATAGCAGTATTATTAATTCTTGTGTAATGTACTGGCAGGTAGCAGGTTAAATGAAAAAAAAAAAAAAATAATAATAATAAAAAATTTATTATGAAGGGAAACACGAAAAAAAAAAAAAAAAAAAAAAAATGAAGAGAAAATAGATAAATTCGGGTTGTTAAATAATAATTGGAAATTTCATTTTCGTGTGAGTTATTTGATTTTAATTTACAATGCAAATGTAATTTCTGTTGACGGTGAACATTGCAATAATTAGTTTGTAGAGGAAGATGGTTCGCATGGCTCAATGGCAGCGTGGGTACAGGTGCTAATCGTCTTTTAGTCTGCATTGAAGTCATTGCTTTCAAAAACTAATCTAATCTGAAACATTTCTAATTTATATCGTGAATAAATAATTTTTCACGTAATAAATTATTTAATATCTTTAAAAAAAAAAAAAAAAAAAGTGAACATCAACTGAAAATTACCACAAAAATTTCATGATATAAAAATTACACTGTATGTAGGACAAACATGGAAAAAAAACCATTTTTATGCATTAAATATTATTTTTTTTACAATTTTTATCTACATGACAGGTCAATTTTTTTATATATGCAACAATTAATTAATGCATTAATTAGTTTCTGTATTAAACTTAAAAGCTAGAGCTGCTTTTCTTATTCCACCTTTTTTGCGGTTTATCTAATAATATAAATTTTCACTACTTAATAAAAAAATTAATTTTGAAATTTCCCTTTCAAATATGATAAGAGAAAATATTTATGCTTGAATTATTTTTAGTTGGGTGAAAAAATAATTTAATACTATTTTATATCAAAAAGTAGAAGAAATAAATTTAATCCATAAATTTCAATGTATCATAAGTGAACTTTATGATTATAGGATTTTAATATAATACAGTGCTTTATTTTTATAAAAAAAATCAATATAATTTTCACTTTACCATATCCTACATTTTTTTATTTACTTTTTTACTTTTTATTATTATTATTCAAAATAATAATATTATTATTTTGCCTTTCCTAAATGGGTATTTTCATGTAATAGTTTTATCTCTTCAAGAATATAATAATTTTTAAAAGAGTGCACAATCCAAATTTTGCAACCCATATTGATTACTAAACATATTGATTATCACGCTTGAAATGAACTTTCTAATATTAGCGGATGCTCTATGAAATTTGAATCTTCCAATATTAAGTTAAATAAGAGTGTCAGATATCCTCTTATTCCTTATTTTGTGCTCAGTTTAATTGTATATTTAGAATTGGTAAAAAAATTCATAATTAATACTGTAAATTTTATACATTAATTTTTTACAGTAGCTTAACTACTGGCGTCATTCAGTTTTTTAAGCTAACGCCATCTGACGGCGTAAAAATCTAATGTAAATGAAAATTTTTTTTATTAAATTAAAAAATTAATAATACAATCCCCCCCCCCCATTAACATTTGGACCGAAGTAATACATTAAAAAAAACAATTTCTAAATGTTATAGTTTTCAATTTTATCTAATTTTTTCACTATCAAATATTAATATCAACAAAACACAACGAAATAATAAAAAAATTCAAATCGAATAATGTTTCAATTTCAATTAATAGATGGCGCCACGAAAATATTACAGAAATACCTTATATACATATAATATAATTATATGCATTATATACCTATTATATGTTAAGATATATATTAAACACGAGGATTTTATAAAAAGGAATATCAGAAAATCGTTTTCTGTTTTTAAAAAATTTTACAGACGCGTCACAAATTTAATTGTATTGAATTATTTAATAAATAATATGAATATTATGTTTATAATAAATGTAAACAATTTTTTTTAAAGCAGTCTGTTTATCTGTAAATTTCTTTTTGAATCCATAGTGTTTTTCGGGACATCCTAGACATATATAATAGTTGCGTTTATAGACGATGGTGGCATTATGGGAAATTGATTTTTTTAAGGACATTGGCGTTTGAATTACAGTTTCTGATTTTTATATTTTGGAATATTTTTGAATATTTTGTGATACTGTTATTTTTCACCTATACATCAATTAATATTCCCAAAATAATGACATTTTCTTTTAAATGTTATAAGCAAGAATATTTTCTTTAAAAAAAAATATTTATTAATTTATTTTTTCCGGTCAATGATCGAAGTGCTTATATATTCCTTTGCATAAATGTTTTTTTTTTTTTTTAATTTTTTATTTATCCGAATTTTCTTAACTTCCTTCTATGATATATTGTACGCAATTAATACATAGAAATTTATGTCTTAAAAAATATACTAGATAAAAGAAATTCAAACTTTTATTTATTTATCTATTTTACATCATTATTTTTAATTTACTTATTAATTTTGTTGTGGATTATTATATTTATAAAAGATAATTATGTTCACATCTACCAATGACTAATTTATCTTGGCTAAATGCATTGCAACATAATGCAATTTTTCTAAATAAAGCATCCTGACTACCATGGAATTTCAATATAGCAGAAGATTAAAATAAAGAGCTTTTAAACTTGCTAACAAATCATTTAAGAAATAATAGATTAGTCGTTAGTTATTGCATAACCACAATCTTTTTATTTCGCTATAAAGTCTGTATTAAGAAAAATAACACACGATTATCACATTTTGTTCTGATGTATCTAATTTTCTAATGAATCACGCACACACACACACACACAAAATAATAATATAAAAAATAAAAATATTACAATTAATGTTTCCATTTAAAATAAATAGATAGCGCCACGAAACGTTTTTGACATAATCACAAATTACATGGAAAATTTCTTAAAAATAGCAGGTGCAATTATTTTTATCAAATGTCTTGTGCTGCCATCTGCTGTTGAATTTATTAAACTAAAACTAATAATCTGAAAAAAAAAATTAATATTTATTAAATATTGGCATACTTATGTTTATATTTCATGATTTCATTAACCACTTTTCAAGCCAATTTATTTATTTTAAAAGATGCAATTTTTACTTCTTTGTTTAACTCATTTAAATTATATCTTTTTGAATAGATAATTTGCAAATGTATACACTCTGAAAATATTTTCAATTTTAAAAGTATACGGTTGTACGTACACTGTATGATCAAAATTATTCATGAGTAGAACATGATATTAACTTTAGTTTTATAAATTTTGAACATATTTTTATATTAATGATGATTACAAAATTCAAATAAAAGTAAAATAGTCGTGA